GAAGGACGTCGCAATGGGACATATCCACTTAATGTGACGCGATTTCCCTCGGTACGCGACACGACCTGTCGGCTGACTCGGCCATTCTTGTCGCCACGAGGTCCTGCTGGGCGTACCGTATTATAACGGTAACACTAGATTAACATGTTAACTGAGCATCAAAACGTATTTAACACCGTTGAGACATTGCGTCGTTTTGCATTTGGTCGCACCGCCTGGGACAGGAGCGGTTTTGCGGAGCGCAGGCCGGAAGTCTCACCTTTACTTGCAGTTTATTTTTTTTAAAATACCCAACAAAATTGAACTAGGGGTCACAACACCACCCAAACATGTGTACTGGACATGTAGAAATGGCAGTCAAAGTGGAAAACCATACAACAAAAGCAACACGAATAAAGAATATGTATTCAAAAGGGAAAATAATGCCAATCTAAAATATACAAAAAAATCTAAAATGACTTGTTTTCACCAACCAACTACCACTAACTAGTTGTAACTGAAAGCTGAAGCAAGGTATTAGAAACTACAAAACTCCTGAACACTTTACTGATTGTAAGAAACTAAGCAGGAAGAGTGGGGGGAGTCAAGGAGACCCGTTTACTTTCGATAAAGACCTCACGTCTCTAGCCAAGCGGTACTGTCCTCCCTCAAGCAAGCCAGTTATAGATGTGCCTCCTCTATGACTTTTCAGGGGCTTAGGCTACCCCCCCCCCCATACCACTTCGCAGGGTCCCTGGTAAAAAGAAACACTTTGAGGGAGGGTTATGGAAGGTATTTAAGCTAGCATAGATACAACATACATACAACAGTGAGCCTTACCAATCTTTGTTGTGTCGTAATGTCTTCTAGTGCGTTTCAGTTTCTCTGGGGTTTCAAACCTCTTATCGTTTTATTTGGTCCCTCACACATTTTCACCCCAGCAACACTTGATTATATAAAGTGTCAGGAATTCCTTCACTATTTAGAAAGCCTGGATGAGTGGTCCATTTAAGGATTTGCGGTGCAAAAGGGGAATGGAAGACTACATAAAGGATAAAGGATAAAGCATTTGCCGTTGATCAATCGCTTTTTGGGATGCGGCACGCATTCTACTTCCATTTGTACATTCGCAGTGGCTTTTTTTGAATGCGATGTGGCTATACAATGACTTGCGGGGGCCAGCCGATGTACAAGTCAGTGTTTTTTATCCTCCCAGACAAGTCTGGTACCAATTAACCGACCCCGGAGGGATGGAAGACTTGTGCTTGGTTGGCCCGGGCGCCTCCGACGCACGCATTTTGATCCCGGACCGTAGGTGGTGAGCGCCCACATTGTTCCACTGCACCATTCCCGCCCTGGAAGCCTACTTTCGAACTCGTATTATGTTTTTTATGATTTGCGTTAGAATTAGTATTTTTTAACTATGTTATTATGAAGGATTGTTTCAGTCAATGATTGCAGTTCTACCCTGATTAATTAGGAGAAGTTCTGGTGTGGGTTACTGACCCTTAAGCCGTCAGCCTTATGAGGTCACTTCGCAACAGGGTAGGGTGCGAAACTTTGGCTTGTACCACTTTTCACCCTGATTTTACCCGCCACCAGACAATGTCAAACGGTGCAAAGATTCTGACGCGCATGCGCGTCCCTGTTGTCAACGTGTTAATATAATATATTCGCTGTCCTCTTTATAGTGCAAGTGGTAAGCCACTTGTAGCTCTTTGATTGTTCCATTGCTTTTCGTACACACGTGGTATTGTTCCCGTGACTGTGCACACCTTTGGTGCATTGAAATGAATAAATAGATAAATATAAAACTAATAGCATGAATGCAAAAGCCAATTTGTAGTAACGGCCACCGGCCGTGGTTAACACATGGAAATTTGAAATTAACAGGGAAGAAGATGCCATTCCTTTGTTTTTTGACACTTTTGCTTGTTTTCCACAGACGCAGCTTGTGCTGCTCTATGTGCACTTTTCAACAGTATCAGCTTACCGCGAGTACTGTCGGAGAGCGCGGACAAGCCGCTCACCGTGGCGGCGCCTGCTTTCTCCTACCACGTTTATACCCCTTCACGCTTTTAACAGCCGACAGAGGCTGATAAGAAGCGCGGAAAGAAAATGTCATGACATTGGCAGCGCAAGGCCCAGCAGCATTGAGGCGTTGTCCTGCAGGCATTAGCCAAGGGTGGGGCGGAAACATATTTGATGGGGACCAGAAACTGATAGCGGCTGATAGGAGCTGATAAGGAGCGTTGGAAGGCAAATGTCACTGAAGTTCTTTTTTATCCAAATGTGCGATAAGAAAACATCTCAAATCTTCGCGATGTAGTCGTGATACATTCGATCACTAATCTGCCCGAACTTCTTAAATGGTAGTTGTCTGTGGAACTATGATTACTATTGGTATTTTTATTTCATCATCGGGTGGAGGGTCCGTTCCTATAAGTGGTGCAACTGGGAACTGCTCACTTTTGTGGGCTGAGCTGATCGCGGACATTCGAATGCAGGACAGAGGCCTACGAATATCCACGTCACATCTTCATGGTCAATGACGTCATGTGATTTTCGAGATAGTGCTACAACGTCCGTGGAAGACGACGCGCACTCGCAAAGCCCGGCGAGTGTGAAAAGGATGCGAGGGTCTCCGACGCAAGGACGGCGTGGGGGGCAACTAAGCTAGTCCACAAGTCCAGCAACGCACGAAAGACTCGCTGCGACATTAACTCTTGGCACGGTAACGAGCTGCTCGCACGAGTTTGCAGAAACTCTAGAGCGCCGCCGGATTGATTTCTGTGCCGTCCAGGAAACGAGGTTATTCTGCTGCAGATCGAAACTTATTGAACGAGACTTTGATGTCGCCCTTTGTGACGGTCCTAGAACCACTAGAGGTGTCTGAGTAGTTGTTTCTGGCCGCTTTCGTGACAGGATCGTATTGATCGCTTTAACGATCATCTGATGAAGATTGTTGTCGTCATCGAACGTGAGCGATACCATTTCTTTTCTGCATATGCTCCGCAGACTGGCTGCTCTGACGAAGGCGAATCAGCGGTTCTGGTGCAACACCCAATATACATATGTGAATGTACTGGTCATATGAGTTGTACAGCCCTCTGGATGGTAGAACTGTCCTCAGAGGTGCTGACTTCTCACTTACTTTTACATCCAGTAACCGGAAAGCAACAGTCGTTTGCTAATTCCAAGACTTACCCTTCACCTGCAAAGCATCTAAATGTAACCATCGCAGTAGACATGGGAGGTGTACTCTTTCATTTTGGCCCACTCTCTATCGTCTTTTCAAAAAGGTTGCTTAACTTCTCATAGTATTCTTCTAAATATCGAGCCCGCAGTAAAACTTGCAAGCATATGTTTACACAATAAAGCGCAAGAAGCTGGCTATGACTATTTCGATGGATTTGAGATAGTTATTTCGACGAGTCTCCGCAGGACTGTTCGAGTGAGTGCGCTTTGAGTGGATGATAACCGTGGCAGAAAGGATGGTCCATATTTATTTGCAATATACTACACATGCATATATACATATACCACACACTGCAGAACTGGAGTGTCGCTTGAATAATCATTGCATTGAAGCTGCTTGAGGTTGACCGATTTGAAAAAATAAATAAATTGACAAATGTGCCACGTCAAAACAGGAGATTACGATTGCATCTTTCTGTGATGAACTCGTCAGCGTCCACGTGGAAGTATGAGAGGTGATCGCTCATGTCGAATGCGACATTAGTGTTGCGGCAGCCAAAATCGTCGGAAAGCTCGCAAACCTAAAATGACAAAACCTAAAATGACAAAATGCAAGGAAATGTCGTCCAAGTACAGGTGCGCATAAATTGCCTTACCCGGGAATTGATACATCAATGAGTAAAAATCCTGAAAATTTGTTAACTAAATAGTTTCAAGGAAACTGTGTGTCCGCGCATATCTGCTGTCATTCCTTCAGAAATATTTTTTTCTTAGCGGTTCATGGGTTTATGAACAAGCCGTGCCTTGCTTCTGCACGCAGTCGACCGAGCGCCGCAAGCAGTCCGAGCCCAATTCGTTCCGGGCCAGTTTACTTCCTATACATGGAATAAATATAAGATGGTTTGCTCTTTAACTTTACCACAATGTAGCCTAACGAAAAATTAGAGGGATTCACATCTGAGCTACTAGTCCATTATTCCATGGTGAGGTATGCGGGAAAATACACTGGTGTGCAAAACTTAAGGACGAAATGGATAAATTGATCTAACTTATTCACAACTCGACGGAATTATGAAACTGTGCAAGCATAATGTTATAAGTCTCACGATCATAGGCGTCAAAGTGGCTCTCATATATCCTGCGGCCGCTTCAATGTGGAGTCAAAAGGGAGTGGTTACGCAGAACGAGGGGTTTGGTGGGATAAGACAGGGGGGAGTGTACTGAGCAGGGAGAACTTACTGTTGAATGTAGTAGTGCTCTTAATTACAGCAAGTCTTAGAGGCAACACTAGGGTGAATTTCCGTGAGAAAGAATCACCGCTAAAGTAGAAGAAGGAAAATCTGTAACGAGTGTGGGCCAGGAGTCTGATATTGCTCACACCATTGTTTTGTGCGCATAAGGAGCATTATGGACTGCAGTCACTGCTAAAATGCACAGCAAACGTAATCCCAGCCTAAACAGTGGCCGCGTAGGGATGGTCCCTCTGAACGACCAACAGTATCTGGTGTTCCTTCGAAACTCGCGCAGTGGCGTGAACATTTGCTGGGTGCCGGGACATTGGCGATAGACCTTTGAGTTGGATAATCGCGTGCTCTTTTCAGTTAAGATCAAATTGGAAGTAAGTGGTGATTTTGGACTTATCCGCATGTGGTGAGAATAGAAACATGTAATGCATCACGACCAACGTTCAACATGTTTGTTCTGATAGTCCATTCGATATGGTGTGGGAAGTCATAAAGTTGCAAGGGCGTACCAACCTCCCAACTCCTGACCGCGAAATGCTTTCTGATCGAGGTTATTGTGACGCTGTACTTCCTGGCTGCTTGCTTCCCCCAGCCACATCCCAAAGAGCACGTGTGGCTTGCATTCAAGAGAGATATTGTAGCGCATTTCCATGCGCCAACAATTGTCCAGTAGTTGTCTATCGCGGTTTTTAAGGAGCGGATCGCTCTCCACGAACTTTCATCCAACCTTGTTGCCACTATTGTAGCACGAGGCAGAGCGTGCCTTACAGTCCGTAGTGCTCATACACCCCACCGAGAACCAGCTCCTCTTTTTTGAATGTCTACTATGAGTAGGAGTAGCCTCACACATCGACCGCCTCAGACAGGGTATTTGAAGAGAAATGCCTGTTCTAGTCGTCCCGTTGCGCTTATTATTAGCAACCTCTGCACTGTAAAGCAACATTTTCTTCTACGTATCTGCCAAATTTGATCGACCTAAGTTAGCTAACTGTGCCATATCATGTGAAAGGTACTTCCGTCCTTAAGTTTTGCACACCAGTGCCCGTCAGTTAGAGCCCTCTCTTGTTGGAAAACCCTATTGGAGTTCTTCCTACACACCAAGTTTTTTTTGCCCTCTTTCTGGATGCGTTTGGGGCTCCATTCCTCGTCGCTTTTCATATGAGCACTTCAACAAGGGTACCAATTTGCGGGCGCTCCTCTTCTTTTGGGGCTGTCCGTGCCGCTGTTCATGCTAATGGCGTCATTGCCATCGACCGTCTTCTTGACGATTGCTCAAGTTAGTTGATGTCGGCATAAAAGCGGCGGCGACGTAGCGGCTCCACATCCTCTGTTGAAACATTTAACAATCTTCTGGACAGCCCCCACAAGGAAGGTCTTTCAGGACATCGAGTGCTTTTTCGAAATGGTTTTCTGCATATTGTACGGGCTCATGCGAGGAACACAGAACCATGATCCATTTTTCTTGAACGCCTCCAGGAATGTCAAAAAAGTTGTGAAGAAACGGTCCAGAGTTCGATCCCCGGTGATGACTAATTTTTGCAACATAGTTTGCCGCCTCCAGATTGCCGTCAAATAACGCCATGGTCGAGTATAGATGCCAATGTCGTGTTCTGCGGCAATATGGAAGCGCCAACATAAACTGCAAAAATTTTTCGTCATGGGGGGTCGAACTTTAGACCTTATCTTCCCCGCTGTTTTGACACACCCGGGGGCGTTCAGGAAAAATAAATCATGGTTCTGTGTTCCTCGCATGAGCCTCTACAACATTCCGGTAACTATTTTGAAAAAAACGCTCCATGTCCTGAAAGACCCCCTTGTCAGTGTCAGTGATATTTTCCGTTAGTTCAAAGTGCTTTGATTGGAATGCCTCCCTCTTGGAGGATGCACGATGGATCTTTGATCGGAAGAAACTAATAAATTTAAGTTCACTATATATCTCAAGAAATCGAACAAAAAATGCTAGAAAATAACAGCATAAGCCAAAAGAAGTTCCATAGCTCATTGAAGAAGTGATGCAGCAATTTACCTTGAATTTATCTCCCTTCTTCATGTTGTTGTTGTAATGAACAAGAAACCGATAGAACAAAGGCTGTCGTTCAAAAGCCGTTGCTGTGATTAGAGAGGCTGCCGGATCAGCTGACCTTGGAATACTTGCCACCTGTAAGTAGGCATTGCTGGATAGATTCAAGGCAATTCTCCTATGTGAGGCGCAATGACAAAACCAAAACTCAGCAACTCACGAAATCATTTTTCTTGACAACTCGATATCGGAAAGGTACGTTCTCTTCAACTTCCCTTGCGAACGCGACATTTCCAGTACGTGGTTCACCGAATGTGAGAAGTCGGAGCTGAACAATTTAAAAAAACCATTTATTCTGAAAACTAATCCAATCTCAGTCGAACATTTCCCATTACTTGCTGCAAACTGTTCCCATCTTTCCTTTATACTAGAGGCGGTATCAACTGTAACCGGAAATGCAAGTGTGTGGTTTGCTTGCTGACTTTTCCGCACCTCTATACCTTCCTTATCAAAGAATGAGAGGACAACCTTACAAGGTCTTTGTTAACAAGTCCTTTTTTCGCCAAATATACAGATGTCATCGATGCCAACGAACCACCAAGTGAATAGCCAGTCATCTGTAATATAAGTATTCCTTCGACATTCAAGTTTTCTTGAGTGCACTTTTATAATCTCTAAAACCTACCCAAAATCGGAATCCTGGATATTTCTTGGCCAGGCTAAGAGCGTGATCTCTCATTCCACTGTCAACAAACGTTCTGTAATATAGGAATAAAGTATGAATGTGATATTATCAGTGCTGTTAGGTATCTGCTGCTTTAGGTCGCGTTGAAACTGAGGAATGAACTGGTAACGTGACAGCACGGATATAATGATTGAAACTATGTAGTCGAAACACGTAAGAGAATTATGCAATGGCTACTCACTTGTAGAAAGCCGTATAGAAGTAGGACACAACTCCAGCATCAGTACCTTCGAACTTCTCCCATGCACCCAGTTGAGCTCCAAGGCCATTTACCATTTCAGTGATGAGCTGTATGTCAGATTTTCTGTATCGTGATAAGAAAACATAAACCCTTAAAAGTGACATGGCGTTCAAGACTATTCACCGCAAAACATGCTTCTCTTCCACCAAGGAAGGGAACGTCTGCACAATAGAGGCTCGCCGTGTAAGGCTCGAACTATCACTTACGAATGTAGGAATGCTATGAAATTCCGGCAATTACGCGACCACCTCTAAAGCAGCAGAATCGACCTTTTCCAATGACCTCCGTCTAATAAGAGTGCTTGCTAGAAGATGCGCACTGCAGCGCGTTTTGCAGTATGGGTCGGATCAGAATTTTCTGCTTGAACCTTTCAATGAATGAATAATCTGTCGATCCTTCTCGCATTTGGCCTTTCCCAATATATCATGGCAGTTGTTTTTTCATTCGACATAAGCTTCAACTTCTGAGAGTTTTCACCGTGATACTCGCCGTTTGAAATCAGAAATTCACGGCGAATAACGCGGAATCCTCGTTAATTTTCGTGAATTCATTTATAAGTCGGGTCAGAGTGAAGTATTCCAAAAACGGAAAACACGCGTTGAACCTCAGCTCTTCAAGCGCTACAAGATGGGTGCTAAAATATTCTCAAGAAATCTGATTTCGAAAATGCGCCATGCACTCGATTTTCATCTCAAAAAGTAGTTGCTCGCATGTGATTGTGTATAAATCCCGCTTATGCGGGCTAACCGCCACACACAAAGAGGGCCTCAAAACTTACCCCAGAATGCGCCACTACTCATCTCATCCACTACATTTGAGATTAGATGAATGTTATTTTCCGAATTCTTAGACCTTCATTTCGTTTTCAAGCGCTACTAGCTTACGTGTTCCCTCTGCTCCCATATCCTATCCTCTGTAATATCAAGTGGAATCTTTGAACAGTTTCCGGCAGCATTGTGGCTATTACGTGACTTTTTTCCATTTTCAGAGGACATGTTTTGCAGAAAGCTGTGAAGATAGCGAACAATTTCCTTCACTGTCCTAGACTACGGTCACTTACTGTAAGGAGTATAGGAACCTTGGTCGCAAGGTGAGGCGTTTCGTCCGTGGTGTGACCCCAAACATCACTCCTTGTCATGCCTTTCCCCCTATTAGCGTGACAAGTCCCATTTCTAGATTAATTTTTGTAGAAAGCTGTAAAGGGCGAAGAAATTTCCTTCACTGTCGTAGACTATGGTCACCTTGTCTGTAGGAATTATGTGGAAAACTCGGTCGCAAGTGAGCGTTCCTTCCGTGTGTGGCCCCAAACATGCCTCCTCCGTCATGCCCTTGTGGAATGTTCAGATTTTTTGCATTTCAGATGAACTCGCAGACCTGAAATGTGCCCCCGTTTAGCTCCCCGTGAAAAATGCTATCGAATGATATGCATTACTTCCCCAGTTAAAACTTTTTTTCACCGTTCTCAGCCTTCCCCTATTGCCGGATTGGCCCTACGATTACAGTGCGTACCAAAATGTATGTGGATCACCCTAGATTCGATTCTCAGTAGTCAGCTTAAAGGCATTTTTGTGTTTATGAAACCCTTCACGCACTCCACTCCTAGTGGTCGATAACTCTACATTGACAATTCTCAACAACGATTTCGTTCTAAACTTAGCGAACTATTATTCATGGGAAAGTTTTTCTTTGTATCAAAATTATGTGACACCCTGAGCAGATGAAGTTTGTTGCATCGATTTCTCAGCACCTATGTTTACTTCGCCTTTCGTTACTTATTATGGCATCCTCCTACCTCTTCAAGGCAAGCGTTTTTTCTGAAGAAGACCAAGCACAGAAAAGGGATCCGCCATGGTTCTGAACCGTCCTATGGCGAAATAGCACGATCAGCGCAGTTATTGCGTCCTCGTAGGTTGGAGAGAAATCAGAAATCCTGATGTTAAGCTCCTCGACCTTGACTAAGGTTGTTCTCAATTTGCTACTTGTTCAAAACAGCAGAAGAATAGGCTTAATTTTCTCAAAATTTTCTTCTTCGTACTACTCAACTTTACGGGCAGAAATGATCTTCCCCGATCTAAAAAAAGACGAATCGGATCTCATTCAATCATTGAGCAGCACGACATGAAAGAAGATGAAAAGAAGCGCTTTGCATATGAATGCGGGTCCAGGCTGGCAAGGTTGAAATTCTCACTCAAAACAAGGATCCATACATGATACTTTGAACCCAACACAGACAGTGCTTTCGTGGAAATGGTAAAATTAGTATAAAAGACTCTCTGTGGAAATTCTGTCCATGAAAGCTAACTCGACTGGCAGAAAGAGACTTATTCCTTACTATTACGGTGAGTCTTGAGGTTTTTGGAGAGACTTTGTTGGACCTGCACATGTGCTCGAAGAGACATTCGGAAGATGTTCATCAAAAGGTCTGGGTGGTTCGCAAAAAGGAGCGAGACATTGAAGTTTGGATTGCCAACATGTCAGGTAGACGACTAGGATTACAGGTGAGGTGCTCAGGTCCCGGCTACAACCTTTTCCGAAAGTCATGGTTGCAAATACACTTGTTTTGCAGGGGAGGTCCCTGACACCGATTCCATTTTGGAAAAATGCCTAAACGCCGACGGCTTTGATTGGCAAGTCGGCTAGCGTATTCCTCAGACTCTCATACTTATTGAAAACGTGGAGGTATCGTGGTTCGCGGGTCTCTACGTCATTTGAACGAAAAAATAGTAATATCACAAGTGACCTAACACGTCGGTGGAATTTGCTGGTTGGGAAACAGATCTGGCAAGACATGTACGCCAGACCCATCATAAAGCATGCCAAACAGAATGGCTCAGCTTACTAGAAATTTGGCAGGCCTACCGATTTCCAGATTTTGAAGTTATTGCCGTTTTCAAAAAAAGTGTTTCACAACTAATTTGATACAAAGAAAAAATTTCCATGAAAAATAGTTCGCTAAGTTAGAGCGAAATTTTTTGCCGAAAATATCATTGTAAGTTATCGACCACTAAGACTTGAATGGTGGAGGTTTCATGACATAAAAACCCTCTAGCTGGCCCCTGAGAATCGATTCCAGGGTGTCCACATACTTTTGGTAAGCGCACTGTACCCCCAAAATCTCAAGTTTCATTTTTCGTCGAAACTTTGTCTATTGGGTAATTCGATGCCCTGATTACGAATATGACATTCATTTTTGATGCCGATGTCATTTGCGCGTTATTTGGCGCCCGGCTGTTTTCACCAAATCTGCTGAAACTTCGTCATTTGGGGTTTATTTGGTTTCCTGATTACAAAAACGACACCAGTTTTTAGCGCTAGCCCATTTGGCGCCACGGCTTTTTTTTCACCAAATCTGCTGAAACGGTGTATAGGGGTTATTTGCGTCCTGATCACGATATAATAGTCTTGACGCCGCCGCCATGTGGTGTCACAACAAACACTTCACAGTCGGAGCGTACTCTAAGGCACCTTTCTCAGAGGCGCCGACTGTCAGACCGTGGAAAAGGTCATCGAATCAGACCTTTCCTACGATATGGAAGGAGCCAGACCGTGGAAAACTGTGAGCTAAGCCAGAAGCATATTTCACGTTTTCAACTGGAGATGCCTGTATGCGTTGGGGAGCAGCAATTCGACTGTAAGCTCTCCAGCTGCCACTGAGGGTGGTAGTACCTTTCTCGATGTCTACTTCATGATGAGCCACAGAAGAGTTGAAAACGTTCTTCCTTCGGACCATCCGAAGGAGTCCACTTCCTCTTTCAATGCCTCCAAACAGCCACTTGTGCCTGCGTACCCAACGCCGGCGTTGTATTTGCCATGTTTTGTTTGTAACTGCTATTTTAACGCCGCAGTTCGCGTTGGCAATTGTTTCCAAGAATGCTGGGTCGTGAACAAAACTTTCGATCCAGGCGGACTAGAACCCGCACCTCTCGCTTTCCGGGCAGGTGCGGCTACCAGTTACGCTACCGAGCGCCATTTTCATTCCAACTCAGCTTTTCATGGTATACGTACCATAGCTTTCAGCACCCACACGTCTACGTGTTGAGGCCGGTTAGCGATATCGCAATGACCGGCGAGGCTGAAAGCTTTTAGCAGTGGATTTTGACGTGTTTTTGTTTGTTAACTGCTGTTTAAGGCCGCAGTTCGCGTTGCGAATGTTTCACAAGAATGCTGGGTTGTTGTATTGCGTTTTGATATGTTGTATTTGCCGTTTGATAACCAGTGTTCCGTCAATTTCCATCTCGCACCCGTACCTTTCGATGATCGGCGGGTTCCTGCTGAAGTGCCCCACACATTCCGCCGCGGAAGTACCGCTCCCACTGAATTGAACTGGTGTGGCCGACATTGAGCTCGTATTCCTTGTCCTTCACCTTGCCCATGTCGGGCACCCAAGAAATAGGGCAGTGCGAACACCGTGGCCCCAGGAAAGTTACAGTTCTCGAAAAAGAAATCCTTTCGGGCATGAACGTAGACCTGATCTCGTTCGATGGCCAGTGCGGCATGCTCGGCCCAAATAACCCGAATGACGAAGTTTCAGCAGATTTGGTTAGAAGCAGCCGTGGCGCCAAATTGACACCAGCATCAAAAATGAATGTCATAATTCGTAATCAGGGCATCGATTACCCAATAGACAAAAGTTTCGACGAAAAGATACTTTGAGATTTTGGGGCGCAGTAATTGTGGGCCCAATCCGGCAATAGGGAAGGCTGAGAACGGTGAAAAAAAGTTTTAACTGGGAAGTAATGCATATCAATCGATAGCATTTTTCACGGGGAAGCTAACGGGCAGCATTTCAGGTCTGCGAGTTTCATCTGGAAATGCAAAAATCTGAACATTCCACAAGGGCATGACGAGGAGGCATTGTTGGGGCCACACACGGAAGGAACGCTTTACTTGCGACCGAGTTTTCCACATAAATTCCTACAGACAAGTGACCATAGCCCTACGACAGTGAGAGAAATTCTTTCGCTCCCTTTACAGCTTTCTACAAAACATTAATCTAGAAATGGGACTCGTCACGTAATAGGGGAAAGGCATGACAAGGAGTGATGTTGGGGTCACACCACGGACGAAAACGCTCACCTGCGACCAAGGTTCCATAATACTCCTTACAGATAAGTGACCGTAGTCTAGGACAGTGAAGGAAATTGTTCGCTATCTTCACAGCTTTCTGCAAAAACATGTCCTCTGAAAATGGAAAAAGTCACATAATAGGCTCACTTGCCTGCCGAGAACTGTTCAAAGATTCCACTTGATATACAGAGGATTAGGATATTGAGAGCAGAGGGAACACGTAAAGCTAGTAAGCGCTTGAAAACGAATGAAGGTCTAAGAAATTCGGAAATAACATTCATCTAATCTCACAATGTAGTGGATGAGATTTGAGTACGTGGCGCATTCTGGGGTAAGCTTTGAGGCCCTTGTTTGTTGTGGCGGTTAGCCCGCATAAAGCGGATTATATACACATCACATGCGAGCAACTACTTTTGAGATGAATGAGTGGCATGGCGCATTCCGAAATCAAGCTTTCTGAAAATATTTTAGCACCACCTTGTAGCGCTTGACGAGCTGAGTTCAAGGGTGTTTTCCATTTCTGGAATACTTCACTCTGACCCGACTTATAACGAATTCACGAAATTAACGAGGATTCGCGTTATTCGCGTGAATTTTCGATTTTAACACGTTGACGACAACGCACGTTTTGGGTTTTTGCACCGCGTGGGACCACGGCGATTTTGCAGGCGCCGCCGCCTCACATCAAATCCGTAATTTCAAGCTTTAAATATCCAAAACTCGAATGCAAGAAAATGTTTAGAATGATATTAGATGTGTCAGGCTTATCACAAAGGACAACTGTAAAAAATCGATCAACTAGATGTTTTCCGGCACTGAAAAGGCAAGTTTAGTTGATTCTGCCGTAGTAAACCTCAAAATTGTTTTTGACGCGGTTGTTCCACTGAAAACATATGCCTTGCTATATGTGTGGGTCTGTACTTGCTTCTACTGCTCTTTTTTATGACCAAGATGATCAGAATATAAAGGAAACTAGGAATGAACACAATTGGGAAATTCGTAGGGCTTAGAAAACCTTCGCTAAAAAGGAGCATACCCAACCATTCAATGAACCTCGCCGTGTCTAGTCATATTATGGTGTAGTCCATGGAATAGATGCAAAAAATTAGAAAAGAAGTAGCGCTTGCGCGAAAAAAAAATAAATATTTTGTGTGTGCAGCGCATGCGCTGCACACGGTCCCACGCGGTGCTCAAGGTGTGATGCGCATGCGCTGCACAATGTCGTCATCGTGTTAAACGGCGAGTACTGTACTTCGCAAGTAGGGCTGCACCCCTTCTTAATGCTCCAGCTATTGCTTAACAAAGAGCAAAATTGTTCCCAAATCAATTGTCAAGTCGGGGATTGGGCAGATCCCTGCCACAAGCAAACTTTGTCCGCTACTGCTCACCTCATCCACGATGAGTTCAAATCAGCAAGTTTACCTGTTGCCGTGAAGTGGTATCTCTAAACACAAGGTATATGGATTTGGCTTCTTCAGACACAGCAACCATGCTGGTGCAAGTGTTTCCAGAAGAATCGCACTCAACTGTGAATGTACGAATGTGGCTGAAACAAACGAACATAATATACATTCTAAGTCGTGGATAATCACAATGAAACTCACCTTACGTCAGGCCTGACATTAAGCAGACATGCAGTAACGTTTGTGTCTCTCAATGAGAGGATAAATGCATAGAGTGAACGTCCAAGTTCATCGGTGTACCTTTTCCTTTTGCAGTTGAAGCCTAAAAGAATACCGCGTAGATGGAAAGAGGATTTACTGATAACTTAGAGCCCACGAACGATTATCGAATTTCCGCTGTAGGACTTGAATTCAAAACAATATTTGATGTTATGAGTAGAGCAGTGTAGATCTCTCAGCCTTACTCAATACGTACGAGCTTCAGACCACACTATGCCAATACGTCTGAACATCGAGGTGGTAGTGTTTGGTGAAGGCACACAACCATCTCGATGTTCAGGCACCTGATAAGGCTCTCGAGTCATACTGGATAACGGGTGTTTTTCTCGATAGGGGTTGGGAGAAAATGGGGGTTAATGAATGATGATTAAATAATATTCTGAAAACTACCTTTTCAACACTACCCTCCTTTCCTTTACCTCGAAATCCCGAATACCTCAGAAGATTGTTAACGCTTGTACATCTTTTCTTATTCATCGCGCTGGTCCCGTGCCGTTGCTGAGCCCGCCGTTCTCCAACTTTGCAACTTTGTCCCAACCAGGGCATGTTGTGGCTTTGATTTCAGTGAGATGCCCCTTCTAAATTTCTTGCGAGACCAAGTGGCCAGCACTTGCTACCCATGACGATCCTGCTATTCCAGCTGAAAACTGATCCAAGTTCTTCATTTGAAATAGAGAAAATGGGAGATTGAGCGAAGAGAGAATACGTTTAGCCAATCTTTAAAACGAAATAAAGATCCTGTAACCCGGAGAAAAACATTCTTTTAGTCTCACAATGTAGTGGATTAGATCGAGCACGTAGCGTATTCTGGGGCAATTTTTGAGACCCATCTTTCTGTGGAGTGGTCTCCGGATCCGGAACGCGTCAGATACGACAACGCTTCCAGAGCAAAATAGTGACGAGTTCCAGGTTTTTAGCACGACTAAAATGGTTACTGCCACCCACCTTGATGGGACACCTGAATGAGTCGCGCTGAACGACAGGCTTTCCAAGTGGGCATGAAAGAGGACCAACACAGAGGTTCGATTGAACGCACCACCTAAACAAGTAATTTATAGTTGTTCTTCTCTGGATCTACATAATGTATATTGACCCTTTGGCGACAATTTCACCCACCGGTGGGTGCCGCTATGTGCGCCACGTGGGACAATGGCACCCAATGGTGCGTGCCACTTTAATATTTCCTTCTTTGCGCATTTGAAATATTTTTGACATTCTGGTAATCATTAGCAACTTTCATGATATCTATATGTAGCGTGCTTGAAGAGTACTATAGGAACTAATTTACATGAAGTTTTCGGTGTGAGGCGTATAGTTCGGTGGTTTTTAACTGAGGTTTTGCTTTACTAGACCGAAGAAAATTACTGATCGGGATGTCTCCGTCTTATCGTGACCTTCAAGTACAAGGAGGGGTTTGGATTGTATCAAAAATACTATTGTAAATATGAATTACTTGAGATTTTACCCTCCATTTCTTTGAAGTTCGTCACCCCCTACAAGAAAATCAGTCCGCTTCCCAAAATTTTATAATATAAAAGCTCAAATCTGTATTTATATTTCGTATACTGCCAAAGGCGTTTTCCAACGCGCTGTCGAGAGGACGATGCTAGGAGTAACCCTACACACGCAAGTGAAGAGGGGAATCAGGAGTGCCGAACTACGCCAACGATCGAAGGATCAGGGACGCAGCCGTTTTCGCTAAGGATCGAAAGAGCAAATAAATAAAAAAATGCGAAGGTGGGCCGGACACGTCATGCGATTTTGCGATGACCGTTGGACCAGAGCGGTTACCGACTGGATCCCTCGGGACGTCAAACCAACACCTGGACGACCGCCGGCCCGATGGTCAGACTTCTTCACGAAAGCTCTAAACGAAAGGAATGATGGACTTCGTGTCCTTCGAGCAAGGAGGATCCACTGGAGCACTCTAGCACCGACAGGGACGAATGGAGACGTTGCTGGCGCCCGCTCGAGCAATTCGATGATCAACGTGACGACAGGTGACAGGTGATCTGCCAAGTGAACAATTTTATAGAGGGCCTGGCTTTAGGGTCAATTCTGCCCAATGTTGGCCGAGGTTTGGGCGCGCCGAAACGAGGCGTGATCCCATGAGCCCGCAATGTGCAAATCCGCATTGTCGCCAAAGAGTTAACGAACTGAGATCATTGTCCCTATAGTAGCAGTGAGGATAAGCAGTGCACTAAGAACTCAAAACTCGAGAACGCTGATCTCTACATCAATGCACGCTGATCTCACCATCTCGCGGTGGATGGGAAGCGTTGCAATCAGGGTCGATGGTTGGAGGCCTGTCAGGATTGGCGCCCTAACCGCGTAATTTTAGCGACGAAGCTGAAGTGATCTTGGTAGGTAGGGATCTTACAATTTCCCTCGTGGTACCCCTCCTACCAGTCGGGCTAATCCCGAGGTTTTCCTTAGCAGTTGCGAATAAAATGGGTTTTATAATGGTGATCAATATACATACCTACGGAGCTGAATTGTTTTAATTTTATTTTTACAGTAGCGATGAATAACGCAAGAAGAAGCAGTCCAGAGCCTAGTTCCTCCGTGACGAGAGCACAAGTCAGCCTCAACCTTTTTCGACTATAGTGCTTTCAGAGTTGGATTGGCTGCAAAAAACAAAAAATTCCATGTACATTAGTTCCGGCACAGCTCAGAGGTTGCATCAAAATGGCTAGCGTGATCGGCGACTGATAGATAACATGAATTATGCTCACACACGGTAGGTAGGTGCAGCCTTTCTCAAATGAGCATTACTTACTCAAAGTCTATAATATGGTTCCAAGGCCGTCTAAACATCAGAAAAAATACATATTTGTGAGCATCCAAATATCTTCGTTAGACCGTGAAAATCATCCACATCACTTTTGCTATAGTACCTGCAGTGTTCGCGGAACCCAAGTACATGAGTGTATGATGATGCACATGACTGGCAGTCCTTCGCTTCCCGACAAAAGTTGACGGGATCTGACATCGAAAGGGCGCATAGTAGCGATAGCGTAGCTAGCAACAGCATTACGTCTAAATGAGAACGAATTCAATACTCGGCAGTATTAAACGTTTTGATTACCATTGTGATCTTGTCAATGGATGTATCAGAAGAATGGTGTTACAGTTTCATAAGTGGAGTCATCAGAAGGTACATACTTGTTATAATTTCATCATCGCTACTTATGTTACAACTGTTTGCATTTTTTTCAATAATCAGTACACTGATTCTAAGATAGTGGCCTAACACCACATGGATATGGTCTTCGTGCAAATGAGAGGTGTCCGAACTCGTGCATGCGGGTTACGATAATATAGAATTGGGAAGTGGCCTAAATGCGAACCGTTAAGATGGTTCAAACACAAACCTAAGAAGGGGGTCTTTAAAGCAACAGTGCCAGCAGGGTGGGCGGGAAACGACTGCAATCGGAGCTGTTCAGCCCCTAGTCAAGAACGTAAGATGCGTGACTGAACAAAAACTCACTGTGTAAAACCGCTAGGCAAGGAGTTGAAGTGGGCGTGGTCGGAATCGGCCGAGGGGATTGAAGCCGTTTCCGACCACGCCCACCCTAATGGGACTGTTGCTTTAAGGGCGTAGAGCGCTTTTTTAAAGGCTCGCTCCAAGATTATCCAAGCTCACCTGTTCCATCCGCGATCGCGATAGACAGGCGAACGAGCGTAAATGTCGTGCCTCATCTGCGGCTTGAAAGCGCGCGATACATAGTGAAGTTCGCTCCACCCGCAGTCCATACCCTGGACCGCAAGCCCCACCTTCGGCCGTCGCTGCCATGTTGGCGCTGCGAGAATAGAGCGGCCGCATCTACGGCACTGTTAGATTATGGCTCGATGTCGAGGATCCTTTTTGTGGTTTGAAGGGTCTCCGGAATTAATTGAAATTTCGAAATACAGGAGGGGGTTTCTTTTCTACTTTCCACATAAGAAAGGGAATTCTGGAAAAAGAAAGGGGGTCACCCATTTGCGCTTTTCCGTATCGATTTCAGGCCTGGAGCTAACAAGTGGCACTATGGCAACTTTAGCTAGCAAAGGTGAAACTCGTCCAAACCCCGCTCTTCTAAATACCGCGGTGGAGCAAGGTGAAATACGGCCGGGAAGGAGGAGTGACCAAGTTCGTGGCGTATTCGAGCGTTTCTTTTGATTTCTTCTTCGTTTATCATTGCCCGCCTCAACTTCATGATTGAACGATCCTACCCACTCATTTTATCCCAATGCTTACCATTTAAAGCGCTTTACTGCGGAGGATTTCATGCATGGTCTACAAAACCAAAGTCCATTCTCGCTGAGCGGCCTTGGTGAAGGCTAAAAAGAGATAAAGAAATGACCCAAGGTTCAGTCCCCACTGGGGCTTTCGAATTTCCTCTAAATAACGCCAACACCAGTAGTATGTGCCACATTCATTACAAAGACCGGGCGTTCTCCGTCAGAAGTTTTATACATCTCCAACGCTATAAAATCACCTACTGCATGCAAATTTTTCGACCCTCTTTTTGACTCTAGAGCCGCTCAGCGAAAATGAACCGCATTTCTGTAGAACTGACAACTACAGCGTGCAAAAAACCGTCTTTGAAAAGCGCTTTATAACCCGAAAGACCTCCCCTGTAAGACGCTCGTTGCTAATCACGTCGTCTTAAAGCAACAATCCAGGAACGAGTTCGCGGGTAAGGACTACCTATAACGACGTTGCAGGCGAGAAGTTGGTCAATGGAGATAGAAAAAGTAGAAAAATCGTCGGGCAGGGGCTTAGACAGGGACTCCCCCGACCGTTTAGGGAGATGTGTTGGACGAGTTGTCCGAACCTGCCCGTAGTACATGCGCTCCAGTTGACTGCTGGCAAATAGCCCTGCATAGTTGCAAATACATAACTATTTGCCAGCAATCGAAATTGAAGCGCTTCAATTGGGTTCTTATGGAATCGACCTCATACGGTCCCGCAACGACCGCTAGTCGAGCAAGCGCTCTGCACACCGAATGTTGGGCGATCCGCCTCTTTATGGGTGATCCGCCCCCTCCAAGAGGACTTCGACCCCTTCCAGCGCATTTTAGAGGTAGGTTTTGAAATTAAAGACATTTCCTATGAACTTTAGTTGGGCTGGGGCATGTTTTGACCGCCTAATGACCAAGTAGTTGAAACCCTGCCTGGACTGTTGCTTTAACTGAGTTAAGTTATCAAAGGCGAAAAACACAATAAAGTTTGTCTGCGCCAAGGAAGTAAAACGAGACAACGACAGAACAAAGCATACTCTTCAGCGAACAAAAGTCCCCAAGAAATGTATACTTTACAAAATTGGAGTCTTCTGAGTCCTGAATTCTATGGTCATAACCTTTTTTCAAAGCTGTCGTCGTGCAATTCTCCAAATGTCATGAAAGCCTACAAGGCTCAAACATCTTGTCCCCTAAAAGTACCAAGTCAAAAAGCAGTTCTGTCTGGTTGTGTTTGCAAGCTCATGCAATTGTCCCTTATGGCTGTAAGTTTTTCACGACATTCGCACAGAAGAATGCGAGCATCATTGGAAAGTACGAGATTCGGCCTTTCAACTCCCCTTTTCCATCTGCTGTGCTTCCGAGCTCTCGAGCGTTCAATCGTCGACCGAGTTCCTTTGCTAATCGGTGTACCGCAATATGTCGCGTTAGAACCCCCCCCCCTGTCGGTGAGATGCAACGATTTGCACAGGAGCTGAGACGCTTACATTGTTTTTGAAATCAAGTTATGCACAGAAGCGAAGATGAAAAGCAGAGAGTCAGAAAACGTGTGTTACCGCCTTAACTCGCGTTCACAATAAATTTAGCCCTTATAGCTTTATACTGAGCCCTATTTCTCCCTATTTCTTCTGTCATGAATTTCACATTTTTCATCGAAAAGTCACCTGTATCAGTATGTCAGGAGTCAAGTTTAGAGTTGCGGCATGGGTCAAAGCGAAGTACCAATGAATTGAGTGAAGCGACCGCACGGTGTGCGAGACGTGCACTGAAATGGGCAGTGCTCAAATCAAGAATTTATATCCGTTTCCAGAGACTATGAGAAATGAGCAGAAGTGATGAGATTAATGAGAATCAACACTAGGTGACTAAGTGCTCCGTATAGGCGACATCAACTGGACAAACCGTAATTCACTTATAAAGCAGCCTAGTTCGGGGAAGGGGAGGTTCGGTGGGAAAGAAAATGATTTATTAAAGGTGATACGCACCGATTCCGAGATTTTGCGACCCCTCCCCTTCTTTCAGAGGGTCTCAATGCGATCTCCACTTATATCAGCTACGCATGTATTTGGGTACAGGGACGGTCCCATCGTTGCTACTTTTCGAAAAATTTTTACGACCCCCCTCCCCCAAGGTGGATTTGATACGACCCCCTTTTCCACACCTCCACCATCTCCATCTTCCGTCTAAACCCCGCCCACTCTTTCCTCCAAAAATGCCGTCGAGCGTGGCGGGAGGGGGTATATACGGGCGCTGAAACAGCAGATTTTCTCCCGCGCCGCTCCACACTCATCACATGCAACTTCTTACAACCGAAACAAATACGACCCCCCCCCCTCTACAAACTCATCAAAATACACCCCCCCCCCCCGTTGCTACTTGTAGCAACATAGGGTTGACCCTGTTTGGGTATATTTATGCATTTGTGACTGTTTCATCAAAACCAGTGTCCTTATGTCAGCTCGGCTGGATCACGGGCTTTGTCTCACTTGGGCAAAGATAAAAGGATTTTTAATTATAGAACAAACGTATCTTCCCTTTGAGAAAACATTTGGCTCTCGCTCTGAAATTTTTGAAATCGTAGAGACTTCCTAATTCACAATTCTGCCAAGTTTTCACTAACTTTGGAAGATTCCCTTTGCTCTGAAAAAAAGTAAACTTTTAATCAATGCACACTTCATCCTCCGAGATGTAGTATTTTCCCTGTAAATTTTTTCCTTAGCCGTCCGTTGTTTTTGTGCATACAACTTTCAAACCTACAATGAACAGATTCTTCCAAAACCAATCCCTCGAATCACCGCGGCTGCAAAGAAAAGCTACGGAAATAACGTCTTTAAAAGAATACTAAAACATTCTTGAATCCCTCATTCCTAAATGGTACCATTAAGTCATCCAATCGGAAGTGGGAGAGGGCCGCTGTAAACTAATAGAAGGCTTGCCATTCCAAAATATGTAACCTCCCCCTCAAAAAGCGAGAAAGTGTCGGGCGCAGAACAAACACCACAACTGACGACGGTCAAGTAAATCCGCTTAGAAGTTCTTCATTGTGATAGCTGATTTCTGGTTAGTGATAGTAGTAATTAGTGACAATCGATAGAATACAACTAAAACAAGCTAATCATTTCATTGGCAGAAAATACTAGCATTTTGTGAAGGTCGTCGTCATTTGTAACGTATTTTCTGCACCTGACACTTTCTCGCTTTTTGGAGGGGAGGGTAATATTAATATCACCACTTTCACTCACTAACAGTACTGGATTACTTATCAAAAATAGTCCGTTAAGGATTTTTTGAAACACAACGAAGTACATTTTTAAAACACACCAGTTTATGTGATTTTTTTCTGGAAGAATACAAACAGGAAGAGGAGTGGGTGCCATGAAGTAGAGAAGCGTTCAGAGTATCAGAATCAGCATTGCTACGAGATGTAGCTTTGACAGAGAAAAACGAGAAACCCCGAATTCTCTCGTACGGCAACAGCAAGTAGACATCCTTGCTGCATCGTATGCACTGTGCGACTAGCACTTCCCTGCTTCCGCGCTTTGCCGTTCAAATGGAGTGTTATATCCCATTCTTCTCGCTCATTTCTTCAAAAAGCCTTCTGCCTCTCATGTTCCATAGGTGACTTATAAAATTACTAAGTACATCGAATACCCCAAAATCTCATTGTCACGACTCTCACAATATTATGGTCGCAAAATTTTTTAGCGTCAAGATGACTGAATGGATCCGAATTTATGGTGCATCTATAAATGGATTGATCATGGGATGAGCAGTTCATTTTTGATGACAAGAAATCTCCATTTAGCATTA